ATAGCAGCAAAAACACCAAGAAATAGCAGGAAAAACACCAGGAAATAGCAGGAAAAACACCAGGAAATAACAGGAAAAACACCAAGAAATAACAGGAAAAACACCAGGAAATAACAGGAAAAACACCAGGAAATAACAGCAGAAACACCAGGAAATAGCAGGAAAAACACCAGGAAATAACAGCAAAAAACATCAGGAAATAGCAGCAAAAACACCAGGAAATAACAGCAAAAACACCAGGAAATGGCAGGCAAAAACACCAGGAAATAGCAGGCAAAAACACCAGGAAATAGCAGGAAAAACACCAGGAAATAACAGGAAAAACATCAGGAAATAGCAGCAGAAACACCAGGAAATAGCAGGAAAAACACCAGGAAATAGCAGCAAAAACAACAGGAAATAGCAGCAAAAACACCAGGAAATAAAAGCAGAAACAGGAAATAGCAGCAAAAACTTTATATATAATATAATTTATATAATATATACAATATATAAATATAAAAATGACTTTATGAAGTGATATAACAGTGACACAGTAACAGCAACTGTGAGAACAGGCTGGGAGTTTATGTGAGCTCCAGATGTTGTGAAACAAGCTTCTTTAAGTGTTTCCAGATGTTTCCCTCCTAACAAACTCGTAGCTTTAACCCGTAAAAACCCAAACAGACTTTTGTTCCCCGTGTCGTTTAGGCTCCGCCCCCTCTCACCTGGCCGTCCTTCACCTCTCTGAAGCAGTATTTGAACCCCGACTGTTGGGTGTAGGTCCCGCCCCCCCGCACCGTCTGGGCCTGGATCAGGGCCCCCCCCCCCCGCCGGGGCCGGGGCCCCCGCAGACCCCCAACTGGACCAGGTCTGGGTCCCCAGACTGGGACCAGGTCCAGAGGAGGTCTGGGTCCCAAAGCTGGGTCCAGGTCCAGAGGAGGTCTGGGTCCCCAGGCTGGGACCAGGTCCAGAGGAGGTCTGGGTCCCCAGATTGGGACCGGGTCCAGAGGAAGACTGGGTCCCCAGACTGGGACCAGGTCCAGACACCTGGAACAGACCCAGAAAAGCAGAACTTGAATTGAATTGAATATTGAATTGAATTGAATATTGAATTGAATTAAATTTAATTAAATTTAATTATATATTGAATTGAATTGAATTGAATTAAATATTGAATTGAATTGAATTGAATATTGAATAGAATTGAATTGAATATTGAATTGAATATTGAATTGAATATTTAATTGAATTGAATTGAATTGAATATTGAATTGAATTGAATTGAATATTGAATTGAATTGAATATTGAATTGAATATCGAATTGAATTGAACTGAATATTGAATTGAATATTATTGAATATCTTAGCTTAGTTTATCTTATCTTAACCTAGTTTACCTTAGCTTAGATCCTCTTAGCTTAGTTTAGCTAAGCTTACTTTAGCATAGTTTAGCCTAGTTTAAATTACTTTATATTTGCTTAGTTTAGTATATCTTAGTTTAGATCCTCTTAGCTTAGTTTAGCTAAGTTTACTGTAGCTTACTTTAGTTTAGCTTACTTTACATTTGCTTAGTTTAATATATCTTAGCTTAGATCCTCTTAGCTTACTTTATCTTAGCTTAGTTTGGCTAAGTTTATTGTAGCTTACTTTAGCTTAACTTACTTTAGCTTAGTTTAGCTTACTGTACATTTGCTTAGTTGAGTATATCTTAGCTTAGATCCTCTTAGCTTCGTTTATCTTATCTTAGTAAGCTAAGCTTAGTTTAGCTAAGCCTACTATATCTTTGCTTAGCTTACTTTACCTTAGTTTATATTAGACTAGTTTCTCTCACATTAGCTAGACAAACCCACTGACCCTGTATAAGAAAAACTACCTGAACCAGGACAAAGTCTGGTTCTTAAACTGATCAGAGATCTGGACCAGAGCAGAACCAGATAGAAGCTAAATAGAGATAGGAGGCTAAAGGTCCAATTAGCTATCGTACCTTCATGACCTGGTGCACCTGGACGCTGGCCTCGGGGGGGTGCTGCACACTGACCGCCACCATCTGGGAGCTGGGAGCTGCACAAAGGAGGAGGAAACAAAAGTATCAGGAGTTCTGACCCGGTTCTGGTTCAGTCAGCAGAACCAAAACAGCTTAGAATGAGGCTGAAAGGAAGCGAATGATCCAGATGTTTTAAAAAAGTGTGTCAATGTTTTGGACTCAGGGTCTAGAAGTTTCGTTTGAATAAATAGAATAAAACCTAAAATAATTTTTAAAGAAAACAAAGTGAAACCTTCAATAAAATGGTTGAAAAATCAACTGAATTAAATGACCTCAAAATGTTTTTAAAAAAAAAGAAAAATAAGTTCAGTTTTGGTCTGTTTACACACATATATATATGTATAAGCTAAGCTAACATTAAACTAAGCTAACATAAACTAAGCTAAGATACATTAAACTATCTGGAGCGGAAAGCGGGTCTGAGGTTCTGAAGCAGTTCTGAGATGGATCTGAGGAGGTTCTAAGGTGGTTCTGATGCGGTTATTAGGCGGGTCTTATGTTCTTAAGCGGTTCTGAGATGGTTCTGAGGTTCTGAGATGGTTTTGAGATGGTTCTAAGGTGGTTCTGATGCGGTTATTAGGCGAGTCTTATGTTCTTAAGCGGTTCTGAGATGGTTCTGAGGTTCTGAGAT